AAAAACTATAATAAAATATACTATAATAGAAATATATCTACTAATGTATAACCATAAAATCTATTTAGTAAATATTAATCCTAATAATATATGTTCTCATGCACAACCTTTAAAAACAAAAAAAAAAAAAAAAAAAAAAGATAGGGACGAAGAATACACTTCCCATATATTTATCTTGATGTTTACTCAACCTAAGAAAATGCCATTTTCGAAAGGACGAGCAAGACTTTCCATTATTCTTWAAAAATATGGAGCGTTTAATATGAATTACAAACTTTCCCCCTAAGATMAAAACTCTCGTTTAATGTTTAGCAATACCTTAAATATATATTTGCTCCGCTATATAGAAATTAAGAGCAGAAATACACTTAGCATACACGTGCCTAAAATGGAATATTTAATCACCAACCAACTCGCCTTCTAATTGCCAACCGACAAACAAAGACGGCCATTGGAAWAATTTAATTTGTATGCGTAATTTTTCGAGCTTGAGATGACTGACTAGAAGCCCATAGTAAGTAAAGCATTAGAACTTCCCTGCTAAGAGTCCGGAAAAAGCTGATTTCATGGTCATGAAGAAAAGCTACAGTAAATATTATCATGTTCGCTTATTTAGGTTAAGAAATCTTAAAAGTGCACCACTTTTCTGAAGTTAAAATAAAGTTTTTCTTACATCGAACTCAACTCGGCAAAATAAAGAAAATTCAAAACGGCGTGAAGATAATCTTAGTGATCCGTTTCTTTCCTTTTCTTTACTGATTTTTTTATTCTGTTTCTGGACATTTCTTTATTTTGGACAATAATCTCCGGTCCTTTTGAATTAAGGCAGTCATTGTAGAACAAGAGATTCAGAAGATTTCAATTTACATTGAAGTCTTAGTTGGTCTTACTTCTCAATAAGTTCGGTATCGAGAGTGTCCGAGGTGGTAACATTAGGCTCCAGRAGACGAAAGTGTAGATATAAGGACCTCAAATGTTGATGACATTTTTGATGAAAAAAATTCGAGAAGAAGAGAACGGTCTTGTGCCTGCTCGGAAGTAATCCACTCTCAGCTGAAGCGATCCTCAAACCCTAATTGGTAGAAAGAAATTCTCCTTTTATGTCGGACTGCTAAGACAGGTGGTATGTCACAATGTGACGGAAGAAGCATTTATGTATGACTAAACTCAAAAGAATCTTAACGGCCGCGCGGCGTCAATTCTTTAGCTTCGAAAGTGATTGAAATAAAGTACCCGTGAAACTCTCTCTGAAACTAGTAAAACCGAACAGTACTCGAACGCGTACGTTTATAAATGGCCTAATATTTGCAAGATATTCCCAAACAATATATGATGTTGCTGGAATATCGCTTACCAAAATATATACATTGTGCTGAACCGACAACGCCTACAGAGAATTAAATGTTTGTATATTTATCATTGAAACATTCATTGGCAATTATTTGATAAATAAAAATTTATTGAATTGAAAAAAAAAATTTGAATGTCAGTAAATATTTTATAAAATAATCATGGTATTTGCTTAAACAGATAGATAAGCCATAGAATGCTTGATCATGAAAGGCAGGTATTAAATCTTAGTTTTTAGAAATTCAATTGAATGTTTTTTAATATGGCTTTAGGACTAGTACTGAATAAAAAAACGTTATAAGGTGTTATGATGAAATAATAGATTCGCAGTGTCGAGGAAATTGCTTCAATCCATGCGCGATGAAGAATATCGAATGTTTTCTTTAATTACCTGAGCCAATGTAAGCGCTTTCATTCTGTTCCCTCGACTTTTTGCGATAATTTACATAATGATTTTTTTTTGAAACCTCTAATCACAATCGGAAATTATTTTCAAACAAAGTTAGACAATGCAGCTTAGATTTGCGATTTCCTAGTAGATAAAAACTACCATAGTGGTTTATTTTTTTGTTTTTTGTTTTT